TTGAAAACAAATATTGCCACGAGACTCAACATGGTCGATTATCCATAGTCCATCCGTCTTTAAAGCTACCAAAAGTCACTAGGTGCTAGTCCGGGACTCGTCGGAAATCCGATACAACGTCTGAACCTATTTTGGCGCCGATAGTGGTTACAGTCATACTTCTCTTTAGAAGAATATCTGTTCATTTCATTCTTGATTTTCCTCTGACAAATCCACAAGAAAAGAATAGGGATGGATCCAACTAGATGTCTTTTCTTTTTTTTCATTTCGTGGCAGTTCTTGGCAAATGTTTTTTGCATGCATGGATTTTACAGAGCGGAGAAACAAAAAGATAAAATAAATAGAATGAAGAAACACGTTGTCATATGTTTGTTTTCTTTCTGATTCACTTCGAGTCTGATGAGATATTCATTCTATCTATCTAAGCACATCTTGGCACTTTTGGCGATTCAAACATCTACAGTGGGTGAAATAAGTACTCGGACACTACAGAAATATTATAAGAACTGCCATGGTGTGCTCAGATAGATACGATGGATATCTCTTCAAATTCGAAGTGAATCACAAAGAACACAAACACATGACGTATTTCTTCATTCTAATGAAGAATAAAGACAAGATAATGCCATTACCGCGCTCGTCGAGTGTTTCTGTTCTACCACTCTAATGTTCTCATCTCTCTTATTTCCAGCGGTATTGAACCCACAAAAAAAGTTTTCTGCAGTGTACGATTACTTATTTCACCCGTTGTAGATGTTTGAATCGCCAAAAGTGCCAAGATGTGCTTGGATAGATAGAATGAATATCACATCAAACTCGTAGTGAATTAAAAAAAGAAAACAAACATATCACAACGTGTTTCTTCATTTTATTTATTTTATCTTTTTCTTTCTCCGTTCTCTATAATCGACGCATACGCACACATTTGCCAAGAAGTGAAAGAAAAGGAAAGATATCGAATTCGATGTATCCCTAATAGAAAGTTAATAGAATTCTAGCTGTATGTCACATATTCATCGAATGTGAACATTAGGACACATTCGGAAAAGAATAGATCCTTATCTATCCTCTTTCTCTATATGTGTCATAGACTATACATTTAAAATCGACTGTCGTTTTGTTTTTACTCATTTTCTGTTTTAAGAAAGGTGATCGTCGTCTATACATTTTTCTTTTCTTTCTTCTCAATTCGCTTTACCCTCTCGTCGTCTATCTTTGATATATAAATAAGTATACAATATACTCTGCTTCACAACACCCATACACAAATCTATTCTTCAACCAAATCATCGAAATCTTACCAAAAACAACTTTTATTATTCATTCATCGTAGCCAAACTAGACCGTAAGTTAAATGTTTAATTTCTTTCGAAGTTATAATTAAAAGTCAAACCAGTTTTATTCTCTAAAAGTAATCCCACGCCGTGTATATTTTTGACCAAATAATTCTCAATTTTCTCGAGATGAGAGTTAGAGAATTGATTCGTACGCTATTTTAGGTAGCTGAATTCCCTTTATGCTGAAAAAAATCAGAAAATTTGGTTCAATTCCAGAGCCTCTAGACAAATGTTTCCCATCTTGATACTGACAAAAAAGCCGCTAAATTTTCACTGTTTTGAGAAGGGAAGAAAATTTTCAAAAAAGAAAGCAGTAGAAAGTTTTTTAAGAGATTATGCATTGTAGTAAAATCAATGGGCTATTTAACGGTAAAAAACCTTTTAGGCGGTTCTGCAAAGCCAGAAAATGTGTTTTATTTTCGTGACGCTGTAACACAGGTTCTTGCCACTATATGCTCAGGTAAGGCGCCGTTAATTCGAAGTTGGAGCAAATTTTATTTAGGACTTAAAAGCACATCGCTAGGTGCAGTTTTATCTGCATCACGACGCGTGATCGTGATGCAGATAAAACTGCACCTAGCGATGTGCTTTTAAGTATATTGAATCTGCTCTTATTTTTTCATTTTGACCGAGTTTTTTGGGAGAAAAATGCAAAATACTGCTGACTGCTCAAGAATCTTAGCTTAGAGAACACTGCGCTTTTCGATCTTACCAATGTGATTTTCAGATGCCGCATATAAAAATGAATCTATACGTGTGGATATCTATATATAGATCTATTTCTTATAAATTCTATAACTCTGCTCAGAAAGGTTATGTAGAGCTGGGAGATTTCATTTTAATCGGAAATGCGCGGGCCACTAATTCAGTCGTATGGGTATTCAAAGCGGAAATGTTATATACGATCAGGCTCTGGACCACACGTATAGATCTATTTCTACATGCGGCATCAAAAAAATCACATTGGTAAGATCGAAAAGGGAATTGGCGAGGAGAAAACCGCAGTTTTCTCTAAGCTAAGATTCTTGAGCAGTCAGTAATATTTTGCGTTTAATACTGAAAAACTCAGTCAAAATGAAAAAACAAGATCATATTCGTGATCAGCAGATAAAGCTGCATCTAGTGATGTGCAAGTTTTTTGCTCGTCGAATTACCGGCGCCTTACTAAACGTTGTTAAAAAAAGCTTCAGTTCTGATTTCAGTGTCAAGTCTTGGTGACGTTTCTGAAACTTTAGCTTAGCAAGGCGTTAGTGTAAACTTACGAGGAGCACCTGTAGACCTATGTAGAAATAAATTCAAAAACAAAATGAGCCATTCTGTAGAGAACTGAATTCTCTATTTAACGGTATGTTTTTAAAAAAGGTTTAGCAAAATATTCAAGTGACGAAATTAAAATTTTTAAAAGTTCGTCCGTCTTCACATGGTTGGTTTTCAATAAGCTTTTTGTTTCTCTCATCTAGAATATGCTCTCATCATTATTAAAGTTTATTTTATTAATATCATTCATAACAATGTTAGTAGCAAAAGGAATATGGCCAGCCAGAGAACTACGTAGTATTGATACTGTAGCGGAGTTCGATAATTCAGCAACGAATGGCAGCTATATTCAAGGAACACCATCAGAAGAAGGAGAAAAAGAAACAAGTAGTCGTTTCAAACGTTGTAGACAATGTCCAATACCAAATGAAGGCGACTGTTGCCCAGGAAAATAATCGGTTTGAATTCAAGAAAAATGGTAAAAACTTTTTGTGCGCGCTCAATTTTTCGTCTTTGTACAATTGTATTCTAAATAAATCTTTTTTTAAATAAAAATTCAGGCTGAATAAATGCTGACGAATGGAAAATGAAAGACAGCAATTGGCTGAAAAACTGCTTGTTTAATAAGACTGATCAAAAACTATGTTCTTGTCGGGAGACACGAAGTGTGATATTGTCATCTGAGTTCGAATAAACCTAAGTATTTGCATTTGATCATAGACGACGTTTCTTTTCCGTCCCATTCACATGATTGTCAGATCAACACTTGAAATTGTTGTAAAATTCAAAGATGTGTGTCTTGTCTACTCACTTTTTCTCTGATACATTTAGCCAGTGAGAGTTTGGACTCTAGAAAGTTGTCTAGGAAATGACAACCCATCTGCTTTCACAAAGATGAAATTCGTCTGGGTTGCAATGAAGAACACAGGAAATAATTTAGTACAAAAAAAGGAGCACATGATTAACTTCGCCAAGCATAGTCAAATGACAAGAAAACTTTTATCTACTCAACAATCCGATCAGTTATTTAATAAAAATAATTCTGATCTGCTAAAATGAACTTTATACTCTGTAATTAATTGAGTTCTGTACAAGCATTCAGAACTTGTAAGTACGACAGAATGCGCGTTGAGAGTAATCAATTCACCCGTATTGTTATAAAAGAATTTAATCAGATGTTGTAGCAAAGGACAACAAATCTCATCTTTACACAAGAAGAAAAACTTCAAGGGAAAACGAAAAGCTGAACGAAAAAAACGTTTTTTTTATTTTGTGAAAAAATTCGGCCATTGTGTGCGGTTTTTGGGCAGTCTTATAAGTTTTTTAGTTGACGTTTTGATAAAACAAAACTTCTAAATATACCGAAAAACGCCTGTAACGGTCGAAGTTATCCACAAAAAGGAAAAAAACTCTTTGTTTTAGTTGTTAATAGTTTTTCAGCCGTTTTTGTTTCCCATCAGAGCCGTGCAGGTAGCCAATATTTCACAACCTAATCATAATCTAACATATTCTACAATTTTGCGAACCATTTTCGGGTCGATTGTCTCAAATAAGGCAATCAGACATAAAGAATACGAATAAAACTCGTGAAAATCAGAAAAAGTTTTCATGTGTGCAAAAGTAAAAACAATTGGAAAAAAACAAGAACTTGTTAGTATCCTACTATTAACCTATCGTAACGTTAGGTTGGGGTGAACCTGCACGGTGCTGTTTCCCACGAGCTTTATTGTATCATCGCGTATCTTATTCACTACCACTACATTTCTCCAACATCCTCGAATATATTGAATTTATGGCGCGTCCGGGATGTATTCACCGCTGTTTTCAGCTACGTCTTCGTAAAAGCGCTTCTTTTTGAGTTACTTTAGGGAGAGTGCGTGCAGTAGGCATGCACCAGTACCGGTATCGGCCCCAGTAAAAGTGCTCCACAAAAGTTTAAGACCTTTTTTGTTTTTGCAATAACTCAACTTCCTTGATAGATACAGACTCTGTTCTTTCGCCAAAAGAAAGCCTACGTTGCGTACTATAAACCCTGAGAAAATGGTTAAGTTCCGACTTAATTTGACTGAGCTAAAGCAAAAACACGGTGTTTTACACAATTGGAAAATCTTACTTCCTGAGTATTTCACATTTCCTAACCAACAGAACTGCGCGAAAAAAGTTCAAAAACACATCATTCGATAGAAAAGTTTATGGGCTCTCCGTGACTGATCAAACTTTCAGCTTTTGAGCATGTCTTTATCGCCAAAATCTTGTTTTAGTTAGAGCGGAGAAATCGAGGTTTTTCCAT